CATTCTTGGCGCGGCGGTCCAGGAAACACTGAAAAACAGACAAGAGGGGAAAAAAGTGAAGCGTTAATAACTCAAAGTCAACACTGGGCTGGCTGTAGGCAAATGCAGCCAGAACTGTTGCCTGGGGCAGCAGGCTGCGGCGGGGGGTGTGTGTGTGTGTGTGTGGAAGCAAAATAGTGGTGGGACGGCAGCTCCGGTGCCTTGCCGGGCGCAGGCAGCGGGGCGCAGGCAGCCCTGTCCCAGCTCCGGATGGAGCCTCCCAGTCCCGGTGCTGGCAGCACCCTGCAACGCTCTCGGCTACGGCACAGCCCTTCCTCCTCACCGCCCTGCCTGGGCCGGGGGAAAAGTCCATTTTTCTGGGGTTTCCAAGAGCCCGACAGTCATCTCTGATCCCACGCAGGCTCCTAACTAATCTGAATACCATTAAGCTGACCAGAAAGCTGCAGTGCAAAAGGGAGTGAAGGGCATGTCTGGTTTCAAGCAGGGGGTAGAGTCTTATCACCGACATGACTGCACTGGTGTGTCGAGCACAGTTGCCTGAGCATGATAACCACGACGGCATCATCACTGCTTTAATCGCGCTGATAAGAATCTTGCATCATCGTAACATGACAAAACACACATGCCTTAAAATCTTAGTTAAGCCGCGACTTTGGGTCTCAAGAGCTGCTGCGGACTTGTTCGTATAGGAAGCAGATTTTTGCTTAAAAAATCATTGTTGAGTTTCTTACATCACCAGCTGGAAAAGCAAAAGCCCCACGCAGCTCCATGAGCCCCAGGTGGGGTCGAGACATGCGAGACGGTGACACAACAGGGGAAGGTCTCTTTTACAGAGGCGCATTCTATTTTTAGAAGTTGTAGGTGTGAGTTATGTTTAGCGCTCCCCATCTGATAAGCAAGAAATTGCTCTCAGTAAGACCCATCTCCCCACCGCAGTGACAGGAGAGCAGATCCCCCGGTCTGCCCAACCTCAACACCCCATGCCTACACCTGCCCATGCCCATGGGCTCCGTGATGAGCTCTCCAAGCCTGGGAGAAGGCCATCCACCCCACGTAGGACCAGTCACAGTCTTCTGGTTGCCCTTTAAACCCTTAATGGTGGCAGTTGTCCTGTGCCACCACCCCATGCAGGGCTGGGAGAAGGTTTGCTGAGACACATCGGGCTCTGGGAGCGTGTGGGACACAAAGCATACCCCATTCTTGCACAGACTCCAGCACCTCGAGGCCACGTTTTGCAGCTCAGTCCAGGGGTGCCTCTCCTAAAGCCCAGCTTTCCAGGCTGTGGATGGCTCTGGAAGAACATCTCCTGCACAGGAACACGTGGTCGGACAGCCACGAGGGAGCCAGATTGCCCAGCATCGCCTGGCAGAGGGCTGTCCTAGCCCTTAGGTGGGCTCCCCGCCAGGGGGTCCCCCTCATTTATGCCAGGGCAGAGCTGGCAGAAAGCAGCTCGGCCACAGAAACACTGCTCCTGCGCTCCATCCTTCCCCTCCTGTTCGAGCACCGCTTCTGTTGCCGTCATTTCTTAGCCCTAAGATTGAGGGGGGTGGAGAGCAGCTGTGGCATCACTCTCCCGATCAGCCAAAGACAGGGGATGGTGATGCCATCACGGCCGGATGAAGGCAGCCTCAACGCCATCAAGTTGCAATCAGATTTAAATCTGGGTTAATACTCTACAAGGGTAATTCCCCTGTTCTCTTTTTATTATTATTATTTTTTTTAATATTTGATTACTCATTTTCTGTTATTATCTTATTCCTTTTTCATCTTCAGTTCTCATTAATCACTTGTCAGGATTCACAAACTGTCCCCGGTTTCTGTAGAACATGATCCCACCTTTACAGGCTCCCCGCTCCCCCCCCCGGCCTCTGCTATGTGGTGTCTTTGCAACTGAAAAAATAACTGTTTTTTTCTGGCCACCCCCTCTCTGGAGCCAAATTTCAGCTGGTCGATGGGTTGGGCTTGAAAACTCCCATTACAGCTTGTTTGGATTGATCATCTGTGTTCCTCTCAGACTCGTTCGGTTTCAGGCGGGTGACTGACAAG